CGAACCTTGGATTTCTCTTCCTGAGGAGTATTTCCTAGAAGAGGTTCTGTTATAGGATCTGACAGTGTTGTATCCATATCTTTTTCAGCTGTTTTATTAGTCTCAGCGCTGCAAGGCCTTCTTTTTATAGCTTTTGAGGCCATTCTAGCCGGCTGTATGATTCATGCCTGCTGTGAGAGGAAGATATCACAAAGTCTCACTAGAAGAATATACACTGAAAACAGGTGACCAATAGATAAAGAACAAGACCAAACTAACTACCGAATATGCTCTTGGTCCACAACGATCCCAGGAATAGCTTAAGAAGTTCAAACACGAATCAAAGCCCACAGAGAATGATGACATACAAAACTGGACGGTTCCCAGTAAAGGACAAATCGAATAAACAAAATCCGTAGAGAAATCTCCTAAGTGAAATACAGCGAAGCAAGTCAATACCAGAAAAATTAACCCGGCGTGCTGCACAAACTGGAACACACAAAACGCGACTGAATCTACGCCCAACTCATCAAAACGCTGGAAGCAGTTTTCGCTAACTCGCAGCTACTTGCCCAACCCCAAACGAGCTCACAGCCTACATGGAAACAAAATCCAACATATGGAAGGTGGTTTCTGTTTCTGCGGGAGGAATCTTGGGAAAGGTCGCATCCACCAACATATCCAATTCAGTCCGCATGAAATTCCTCCAAGAAAAGAAAGAAAAGAGGCGCAAGCAACGGCATTGCATCAGGTCGCGATTCGCTTACCTCGCCGATCGGGAGACCGAAGCGGGCGTTCGCCGCCCGATTCCCAGTCTCCGCGCTTCCCCTTTCCCTCCTTCCGCGAGGTGGCGAGGTCCGAGGAGAAGAGAGCCTGGGCGTCAGAGATTCAGAGATCCCACCTGGACCGCACGGCACGGCATCTGCTGCAATTTTCCTTTTACTACAGCGGTGTTCGTGCAAATATGTTGCGAGACACGCTACCACTACGGGCCCACCTGGAAAAGGACTTTTGGCTTCGAGCCTTCGACGAGGACCCACTTGTCAGTTGGCAGCACCATTCCATTTCGACCTCGCCGCGAACGCCAGCTACCGGTTCGCGCCACAACGCCGCACGCATGGCGCTCCTCCTCCTTGTCCTCCTCCTCGTCCTGCTCCGCTTCGCCACCGGCGCGGGCGCAAGCGCTGAACCGCCTCGCTCCCCGGCCACCGCGCTCTTCGTCCTGGGCGACTCCACGGTCGGCTGCGCGGCGACGGCGAGCAGCATTCTGCCGCTGAACCTGACCACCACCGCCACGCTGCCGTCCTCGCTCTCCGGCGGTCCGTGCCTCTTCTTCCCCGCGGCACGGCCGCCTCCCGGACCTCCTCGCGGCCAGGATGGGCCTCCCTTCGCCGCCCCGATCTCCGCGCTCAACGGCACCGCGTCCGAAGCCGCGCGGGGCGTCAACTTCGGCGGCGGTGGGCAGTTGTTGTTCTACGGCGGCGGCGAGCGCGGGTCGTCACCGTCGTCGGTGTTCCGCATGGGCGCCGTCGGGCAGCAGGTCCGCCTCGCCTCCGAGACGCTGCAGCTGCTGCAGCTCGAGGCCGCCGCGCCGGGGGAGTGGGAGTCCGCAGCGGTGTTCGTCCTGTCCTTCGGCGCCGACGCCTACGCGCGCCTGCTCGCGCGCGGGCCCGCCGAGGCCGACGCCGCCGCGCCCAAGCACGGCCGCCGCGGCTTCGCCCGCCTCCTCGCCGACCGCGTCTCGCGCGCCGTCTCGGTGCGTACGGTCGTCTCCTTCGCAGCTGCACGCAGTACTCGTTTTGACGCGCGTCATGCGGCGCGGCCGGGTCGGCGTCGTCGTGTGCGTGCAGGAGCTGTACGAGGCCGGCGTGCGGAGGGTGGCGGTGATGGGGGTGCCGCCGCTGGGGTGCGCGCCGCGTGTCATGTGGGAGCGGATCCCCGCCCACGACGGCGGCTGCGTGGAGGAGGCGAACGAGCTGATCGAAGCGTACAACGGCAGGCTCGCGGCGAGGCTGGACGGCCTGCGGCCGCAGCTGGCCGGCGCCGACGTTGTGTTCTGCGACGTGTACAAGGGGATGATGGAGATCATCTCCAATCCCAGCACGTATGGTAACCGTCTAATCTTTCACTCACTTATTCAGTTATTCTTCCTTCGTTTGTTTTCTGAGAAAACAGAAAAGGATCCAGCATCTAAAACGCAAGTATATACTTATCAATGTGCTATCATGATGCACAATGGCAACTATTACTAATGCTGTGCAGAATGATGGTCAGGTGGGTATGGATGATCATAAGAACTGTAGCCGATTTTAGAATGCTGCATGTGGTTTCTTGCTGGCCAATAATCATCTGCTCTACTGTAAAAGACTATAGCTATGTTTTTGGGGAACATACAAAACATTTTCCTCAGAAGGTCCTACTAGGCACAAAAGCGTACTTCCCTCATGAAAACTTTTCCCTTTTTTTCTTCCCTTTGAAACTGCTGGAATAAGGTGCATAGTTGCGGAGCTGAAGCACCTGCTGCATGTCTGAAACTCTGAAAGGGATGCAGCCTTTTTCGATGGTCAGAAACTAATCTGTTACCAACATTTGCTTAATCAAATAATAAAGAAATAACAATACAACAGTTCTTATCTGATGTCATTGTGGAAATCTTAACTGTTCTATACTCCTGTGCTCTCTCTTTTTAGAATTTTAGGATAGAAATCCTAGTCTTTTAACTTAATGCCAAAAGACGATTTAAACCATTACAGCATAGCGGAATGGCATCCTATCTGAAAAATCCTATGCAGTTTCTTCTGTAGACAATCATGTTTAATCAAGTTATAGTCAAGTATGAAATCTATTACTTAACATTTCTGAACAGCTGAACCCATGTAGCACGCATATGCAGGGGTGTTCGGCCGTAGGAATAAGCGGCTGCGGCTGCTTATTCTTCAGTTCAGACTTGAGAACTTAAATAAATCATGACACTTACTAGAGGCCTAGATCTATCTTCAGAAAGTGGTAATCTTGGTATTTTTTTCCTTCAAAAAATTAAATCATTGATGAACATATATTGCAAAAAAAAAGGTAGTAACAACTAACAAGTACCAAATTGTCCAACACCTACCCTGATGAACACTGAAAATTAAACATGATAACGAAAATAGATAAGGGCTAAGCTGTGAAACTCCCTGCAGTGTTCTTGCGTTTGTTCCATGCATGTGTGATACTCACGGGCGGTGTGTGCCTGCCGATCGGCCGGGGTCTATGGCGAGATAACGAAGGGATCGGAGTGCAGCGATTCCCTCATCGCTTGCGTTGCGCTGAAAATGACGTGATGAGGAGATGCAGATGCTTAACGCTGGCTGGCTCTGGTTGTCGATTACAGTATTCTCCAGCTGCCTTCTTCAATCAGGAAAGCAACGGATGTCCATCTGATCTTCTTTGCATCTGAGATCCATGCATTATTATATGCTAATATATATACTATATATGTGTAACCGTTTATATATATGTACGAGAGTTGCTAGATTTTAGGTGACTAAATTTTCACGCAAAAGACTTGCACCAACTATATATAGCTAGTACAATTAAGGGTCGTTTGGGTACCAGAGCTAGTTACTGGCTAGCTAAACTTAGCTCTGGTGCATCCGACCAGAAGGACTAATAAGTGGACTGGTTTTTTTAACTAAGTCTTCAACTATTTGTTAGCCAACTACATACCCAACCTCATCTAATTTGAGCTAATTTTTAGGATAACTAGTAAGTAGCCCTAGCTTATTATGTAAACATGCCCTAAGGACAACTTATATATACGAAACAATCTCTTTTTTTTCTATAACCAAATAATGACAAAATTGCATGTTTTTACCGGAACAATAAAAAAAAATCAGACCCCTCACGTCTGACAATGACATATAGGAGAACACTAAAGTTTACCTCATGTATATGTATATATATATATATGTGTGTGATCACTAAAGTCGAATGATTGGCAGATCGGAGTCAAAAGCTTATTGGTTACGTACTTACTTTAATACTTTGTGCCATGATATGTATAGGATTCGAGGAGACGAGGGAGGCGTGCTGCGGGCTGGGCCCCTTGAGGGCGACGGTGGGGTGCGTCAGCGAGGAGATGGCGTGCGGCACGCCGGAGCGCCACGTGTGGTGGGACCTCTACAGCCCCACGGAGGCCGCCGACGCCCTCGTCGCCAACTGGTCCTGGACATCGTCGTCGGACTCCGGCGCCACGAGCATCTGCGGCCCCATCTCTCTACAGCAGCTGGCTGGCCGGCCGCCGCCGCCGGCGGAGGTGTAGGAACCACTCGTATCGTACGAGTCACGAGTGCAAGGCTGCAAGCGTGCGTATGGCGTGCTACACGACTTGATTTGTGTACACGCAACGGCTAGCTAGCTACAGTCGATGCCAGCATGCAGGTGCTGTCACTTTCATTCTTTTTTTTTTTTTTGAAAAGAGGTGCTGTCACCTTGTATTGTAGCAGGACGCATGCATGTGTGACGACTGACGAGACGGCGGCTATGGAGGTAAAGTGATAATATGCGCACACGGCACGGCACACCACCACACGTCCTGGTTAGCTAGCTGGAAAAGGAAATTTGTGATGTACCACACGATGGAGATCGTTAGACTGTCTCGACAACTCATGCATCAGGACATGCAAACCCAAAATACTTACTTCAGGTTGCTTTTATCGGTGGACAGCATGGTCCAACGGACGACGCAAACGAGGGACATATTTTGGGTGGGACGTGATACACGACCCAAATAAGCGTCGCCTCTCTCCTCGAACCCAAATCTCTTACGCCGTGGAGAAGGCCCACTCACCTGAGATGTGACGGGTGCCGAATCGTGGTGGCCGTGCACTCGGGTCGACGCCGCCGTCGTGGGGGCCATCTGTGCGGACGTCGAGGTCCAATCCATCGTGAAAGGGGCGCCGCCACGCCCAATCGACCGGGTCCGCCCACGGCTGACCGGAAGGGGAGAGGGAGCCACCATAGGTGGAGGAGGAGCAGCCATGACCGCGCGCCGTAGGTGGGGCGGGAGGATGTGCGCCGCAGGTGGGGAGAGGACGCCACCGCGCGTGGGGGCCATCTGCGCGGACGTCGAGGTTGGATCCGTCGGGAAAGGGGCGCCGCCAAACCCAATCGACCGGATCTGCCCGCAGCTGACCGGAAGGGGAGAGACGGCGAGCGCGGTGCACAAGCGCGAGTGGTGCGCCCCGCCACGGCGCAGGGTCCTGGCGAAGGAGGAGGACGAGGCGCCGGTGGGGAGCGGGGGCGCCCTCTCGCCGCCGGATCTCGCGGCCACCGGCGCCAGGAACTTGGCGGCGGTGAAGGACGCGGCCGCCATCTCTCTCTGCCCTTTCCGCTGTCTCCTGGCCGGACAGTTTGAGGGGCAATGCAGTGAACGAACGAACATGGAGATGGGGGAGGCCCCGCCGCGGTGGCGTATAAAGAGAGGAGGCGATGGAGATGGGTGGGCGGCGGAGAGACCGAGGAAGAAGAGGGCCGATTTGCGTTGGCTGTTGGAGAAGCTAAATTTTGGGTGCGGACCCTTTTTCTGTACATGATCCAAACCAGAGAATAGGTATTGTGTTTAGGTTCTCGTTTGTTGGAGACAGTCTTAAGCTTGTCAAGCGGTGCGTGGAAGAGAAATGAACCAACGGTGCATCATTTTACAAGCTTAGAGACGTGAGATGTAGCACTTAACAAGTTTAGAGAATTAAAAATGTATATTTAAAGTTTGTTGATCTAAATGGCATGCCTCTGGTCGCTATAAAAGACGTCTTTAGAGACTGTTCCTGCATATTTAACTCCAAGGTTTTGAAGGCACCTCACAGTTTGTTCAGAGTTTTGTAATTAATTAAGCTGGCAATCCCAACGGATCCATTTGTTTTTTTTATGAAATCAAGGCAAATTAAAGGCTCAAGCCTCGCTAGTGTTGGAAACCCTGTAAATAAGTTTCGTCCTAATAAAACTAGTTTTATTCTATAAAACTTTTTTTTAATCTCTGTCTTCGTTCATAATATATCACATTAATTTATTTAATGTCCATAAAACTTGTACGAAAATTCTATGGAGACTAGTCTTTGGGCCTGTTCACTGGTTGGTGCAGGTGCTGGTTTTTTTGAAAGAAAAATACTGTTAGCTGGCTGGTTTAGGCTGGCTAAAATCAGGCTGTTTTTGTGAACCGTGAACATCAGTCGATCGGATAGTACGTGGAGTTTGATTATTATTGGTTCGTCGTCGTCGCTGCCGCCAACCATAGTCACGCGGAGTATCACGTGCGCCATCGTGTATACGTAATTCCGTACCGGCGGCGTCCATGTGCTGGCCGTCAGAGAGCCGGAGAGAGACTGTACGGCCTGAAATGAAATAAATAGTAAATAAGTTATGTATGATGAGCACCACTGCTGGGTACGGTAGATTATTATCCATAATATAATGTTCATGTATATATATAAAGAATTTTTACAATGGTTGTCGAAAAATGGATGGCTCACGAGGGCCGATCCGACGGCTAAAAAGACAGAGGAACCAAGAGGAACCAATTAGATAGGCACAAAGTGCATACTAAATGGTGGGACCATATGCACTAAGTGCATACTAAAATTGGTGGGATCAGCCCTTAAGAAAAGAGGGGATAATTCTATTTTCGAAATTGTTTTATGTAATTAAGGGTAGAATAGTAAATTTATAATAGTAAAATAATCTTTGAGTAGTATATGAATAATTGAAGTAGTATAGTTTGTAAAATGTTTATTTCTCGAATTCAACCTTAGCCACTCTCGTCTGTCTGTTTGTTCTTCCTTCGTGTGTGCTGTGGCGGCGTTGGCTGCTAGGGCGAGGGCGAGGGCGAGGTCGAGGGCCAGGCAGGGCTGCGGCGGCGCCGACTACCAGGGCGAGGGCAAGGGCGGCCAGAGCATGCGAAGCTTCTCACCAGTCTCCGGCGAACGGCGGCACCGCGTAGATCCGGGAAAGGCGGCGGAGGAGGCGAGATCCGGGCCCGGCGGCGGCGGCCGACCCAGCTGCCGGGAGGGTGCGGGCGGCGTGGTGCGCGCGTCCGCGGCGGTCCGAGGTTGCTCAAATCGGCCGCCACAAAGACGGTGGAGGAGGCGAGATCCGGGACCGGCGGCGTCCACGGTCCCGTTCGTCGCGCTGGGGGGCGTGGGGTTCCTGGAGCGGCCCGTGATCGCGCTGGGGGTGCTCCTCCTCGTGCTCTCCCTCACGGGCCTCGCGGGGGCACTCTGCCTCGCCTCGTGCCTCCTCTGGCTCTTCCTCCTCATCCTGCTCCTCTTCGCCTTCACCGTATTCGCCTTCGTCGTCACCAACCGCGGCGCCGGGTGGGTCGTCTCCGGCAGGGGGTACAAGGAGTACCGCCTCGAGGACTACTCCACCTGGATGCAGAGGAGGGTGGAGGACTCGCAGAACTGGGCCAAGATCCGCAGCTGCCTCCAGGACGGCGAGGTCTGCCAGAAGCTCGCGGGCAGTTCGTCAACAGCAACCTCTCCCCGATGCAGGTACATACACCGATTCCCTAGTTCTTAAGTTATCCACGTTGTAAGTATTCCTGGATTGTTGAATTTGTATAGAATTGCTGATTTTGTTCTGCATTTCACTTCATGAGCCAAATGTTCACTAAATATAGGAGTTCTGTCAATTTTGTCTAGCAATCACTGCATTAAACCTGCAATTTCTTATTGATCTGAACCTGCAATTTCTTATTGATCTGAGCTTGATTGGCTTGGTCATCTCGAAGTGATGTTAGCCTGTGACGAGTCGAGCCCACTTAGTACTTTGAACCCTCTCACATAGTTCAAAAAGCTCTGGCTCTGTCAAACAAAGAGGTTGTTGATAAAGCCATCTATCCTTCCAGAATCTAGTGAGGTTTCCATTTTTCATACAGATGTCGGTACCCATCAGATAGATATCCTTGACTTTAAGCAAATCAGACCAAACAGAAGAATCTGTTAACCGATGAGATACACTATGAATTGTATCAATATTTGAAATTGAGTATCTTAATGCTTTTACTGATATGCATTACAATCCTTTTTTAGCCAGAGAAGTCATGCCATCTTAATGTTTTTTGTTCAAAGTTTGACATAGAAAAAAGAGTTACCAAGGTTGCTCCTCTTTCTAAATGCATATGTAGTGTTTTTTTACCAGTAACAGCCTACCCAGCGTGCTTGGATAGTAGGCTTTATTGCTATTGTTTTGCTATTAGCACTTGTGGGTTGTGGCAAGAATTTTCATTAGAGTTCACTAGACCAAATATACATTGGAAATAATAGTAACATATTATCTTTACCTTTTTCCTGTTCTTTTAGGTAGAGTTACAAGTGTTTAAGTAAGGAATTGGATAGATCTGAAAGATTTACTGTGTCAATACCTGCACACACTGGTGGTGCAATGCCTGCATCTAGCTATTCAGATCAAAGCTTGACAGGTATCTCATATTTCTATACTTTCATTTTTTTTCTAAATAATTTTACATGGTAATCTGCAGGAAGTTAGGAATTGTATTTCTTGTTCTGTAGAGACTGGACTCCCTCTTAAAAGATGATTAAATCTTTCATAAGGATAACCTGTTTGATTGAGTTTTCATGAATTTTACTAGGCAAAAGATCATCAGGGGTATACTTTATTTTTCTGCAGAAGATGATGCACTTCTGTGCCTGAACACTGCAAAATCAGGCTATTTCCACAGTGCACTACTAGTAGCAAGACAGCTACCATAGGGCAAAGTGAAGAAGAAACGTAAGAGTTGAGCAAGGATAAGGATATTCAACATATTAATATAAGAGGTGAAGAGTTTTTTAATCTTTTTTTGAATGATTTCTTTCTCTGATGCAATTTTGTGACGATTTTGTTGGATCTTTGAATAGAAGAGAAGCATCCTGAATCTCGGAGCATGTATTCTGAAAATGGCAGCAGAAGTTTTGGAATGCACATATAGGTCGGGTTTGCTTGTTGACTTGGGCCGCGTTGGTGGTGATTACAGGAAGAAAGATGCAGGTCATCATCTAGATCCAGGGTGCCAACCGGGAGATCAGATGCACTTGTGCAACTTCTGATGAAAGGCCGTCCAGGCGGTCCAGTCCGTAGAGCATAGTGTAGCTTCATGATGTGGTGAAGCTAAAGCTAACTGTAGAGGAGGCCCCGCATGACACGGCACATTATTTTGTAGCAGTTTGTTGACAGATTTAAAAAAAAGCCATGTTGTGTTTTGTTTAGGCCGGTCCAGGATCTGTGTCTCCCTCGCCTGCTAGTAGTACGTAGTAACCAGCAGCATGGGTTTGATGTGAGTATGTGAGCATGGTGGTTTGTAGAAAGGTGTTTGCTGCACTTGCACTTGATCTATGTGTATAATACTCCTAATTATACATCTCGCTTCGTTGAGAAATGAAAGTAGTAATTATTATTGTCATGGACCTGGGAAAAAACACCAAGCTGGGCCTCGGCGGATGCTGGAGAGGATCAGAGCAGAGCTTCTTTGCTCGACTGTTCACCATAGAGTACATGGACCTCGCCGAGCAGGTGGTGCCTTTCCTTCTTTTTTCGCTCTATATGATCAGTCATCCTCATTATCTAAAAAAAATGATCAAGGTGCTGCTAACACATTTACTTTACTCGCCTTCTCAGTCTCTACAGGCCCTTAAGAAGATCTCTCTGGAGCACCCAACGGCCTGTTTGCGAGCTGGTGCGCTAATGGCTGTTCTATCGTATCTTGACTTCTTCTCCACTGGGGTTCAGGTTGAGTCCTCTAATCTTCTTTCAGCCGTTCTTGTCTTGTGCACGGTTTGCATCTACTTACACCTCTTCCCACGGGGGCATATGTTTGTTGTAGAGGGTAGCCTTGTCTACCGCCGCAAATATTTGCAGGAATTGCTAAAGAAAATGTTTGACTAAGTATTTGCGCCTGAACACACATGAATTTAGTTCAGCACATCGTTTAGGTCTGAACACACATCGTTCTAGTCATCTGGACAAACTAAAGATCAAATATAGCTTACTAAATAGACAGCACATTAGTTCTAAAAAGGCCTAAAAGGGCTGGTCTGCTGTTTCCCTGGATGCTTAGCCCTTTGAACTCGTTTAGCGATAGATTCGCTACTAAATTCATCTGCGACAGTAGGAGGAGTATTGACAACTAATTTCGTTGGCGGTCGTCCTCTTTTCCTATTTTGAGCTCATGTTTCTTTTTCAGATCATGTTCCTTTCGTTCCTTTCCCTCCTTTAGTTCATTTCCTTCCTTTCGTTCATTTCCTTCCTTTCGTTCATTTCCCTTCTTTCGTGCTGGCCTCAGGGTTTGGAGTTTTAGTCTCTATTATCTGAACATCGCTTGCATTTTCAGCCTGTTCGTGCTAGCGTTGTTCATTCGAATTGTTCGCATAGTACTCTTCCTTCTAAGAATCATCAAGAAAAATGTTAGACCCAGCATATTTTGTACAGTCTGGTATAAGTTGATGCATCTGGATCATTTTTAATATGAATTAAAAGTTCAGACCGTGATAGGATTTTGGTACGATTGTCGTCGTCTCATGTTGCGATCAGAAAGGAGCAACCTCGTGCATATTCTCCGTTTGAATCCTTGCATTTGTGTCTATACAAGTGAAAATTGTGCACTGTCATAGAACAATTATTGAATGAGTCTGTAGATATTTGGAATTAACAAGGATTGTAAGACTCACGTTTGTGAAATGAAAGGCCATTTTTTCTCCATCCCATGCTAGCATATAAAATATTATGAACGCCCCGCATGAATGACTGCAATGAACATAAGAATTAGTAATTTAAGTAGAACATTAATGTAGAAAAGGGAAAAGGAGTACCCGTCTGTTTGTTGCGGTATGTTATGATAAGGAATTCGTTTCCAGGCGTGCAAGTTAACCAAGCCATCGTTGCCCGAAGAATCAATGCATTCTTGTATGCTTTCCACCTAGTGGATGGTGAGATAGATGTTAAATTTGATCGAACTGTAATTGTAATTGAATAGGTGGTACGTGTTACGTTGTACTTACCAATGCTTTCTCTTGGTTTTCATCACGGGTTGAGGCTAAGGAGTTAAGTAGCTGGACCTCTTTCTTTATAAAATTTAGCACTAGTAGAGCCCAGTGGTTTTTGTTTATATGGAGAGGCACGAAAACCTGAAAAAACTTTGAAAATCAGTATTACATACCAAATGCGGATATTATCCTGAAAAATAAATACGGATATTATCCTGAATGCAAATGTCAAGTAAAAGTGTCCAAACAAAATCAGTATTACATACCAAATGCCTTCGAACACATTTGTTGGCAATTAACTTCTTAAATGTCAGTCGTTGGTCACCCAGTTTATCTGTAGCCAACTTCCTGGCTTGAAAAGTTGTTATGAATGATGCCTCTTCAGTCTCCACGTTGCTGAAATCAACATAGGCATTTATGACCTGCAAAGGGTGGAGTTATTAGTACATAGTAGGTGTTTGCATGTTATTGTGGACAAAAAGGACCTGAAATCAGTTTACCTCATCTACTATAAAGCCATCTGTGAAATTAGGGCGTAGCTGTTTGGCTGTAAGAACATGGTCACCTATTTGTACAACCTTAGCATGGTCGTAACTCATTAGTACGAAGCATCCGGCTTCTGTGTCTATTGGACTCACTTTGTAATCATTGTCGACAATTGGCTTTCTTGGTGTGATGTGTGTAGAGGCGTCGCCTTGGTGTTGTGTGGAGGGGCTGTTCTGCTGCTGCGTGTTCTTTTCCATCTTAACTTTTGTTCCAGTGTGTGCTTCAGCATTGATTCTCGCCAGTGCATGGGAGAAATGCAGTGGGCCACCTGGTTCTGACTTGTTGACTAGTATCTGTGGTGATTCCTGTAGTTTGTATTTTTTGTTAAATTCCAAAATATCAAATCCAACATTAGACAAAGCAACTGAAGCCACATTTGCATACCCGAACTTGTGCAGATGTAGGCATAGATAACCGAACTTGCGAAGATGTAGCCATAGACGGCTGACCTTGTGCAGATGTTGGCGTAGATGGGTCAACAATACTTTGCAGTAGCTGAAGGATTTGTTGTTGTACCTGTTGTGTTTTCTGTTTTTTTTTTGAGAAATTGTGTTAGACAATGAAGCACGGATGGGAACCGAAAATGAGTACTCACGCTGGTTACCTTGATATCCATTTTCATTTGTGCAGTATCATCTTCTATCTTGCTCACCCTAGCTTCCAGTCTGTTGTCCAGCCTTTTCTCCTTTCTAATCTTAGCTAACTCCTCGTTTTGTGATAATATTTTCCTATCATATTTGTGGTCTATATCCATAATTTTTTTTTCCATTGCTAGTGCAATGTCCGTTTGGATGTTGTTCACCCATTCTTCAAGGAATTGCTTCTTCATAAATAGGAAAGAATGAATTAGGCACACAAACGAGGTTGTCTACATAAATAGTTGTGATACATACTTGTTCGTTGCTTAGACCCTCCTCGCGTGTTGGCGCCTGTTCTGACATTGATGTTTCTGTTTTTATATTTTTTGGCTTGGTGGTCTGACCAGTAGTGCGCGTCATAAGCTGGAAACAATTAATAAGATAGTTAGGATTTATGCGTATGAACAGCAGTATATTGATGGTATGTTTCGAAACTTACAGTTCCTCCATCTAGGCCGGCCTGATTAAAAGCATGCCATCGAAGACCAGCATTGTCTTCAGTCCACCTCGCCATCAGTGGTGGTTGGATTGTCTCGTAATTGATCCCGTACTTGGTGTATGCAATGACGCGCTCCCAGTACCAAAACTATTAACACAATGCAAAAAATACATAAGACCAAAAGTAAACATTGTTTATAGGTGGTTGTAGCGTATAGAACTGACCTGCAGCAAAGTCAAATTGCCCTGTATGTTGGCTCGTTTCTTAACTATGTAATTATTACATGAGGTTAATAAATGGGTCAGAGTGAATTGGCCCCAATTGAATTTCGGAATGTCTGATACTTTTCTAACCACGGGTAGATAACTAGCTTTAACATAGGGCTTCACGGTTGGTGCTAGAATGACACCAATTGTGAACAAGACAAATATTCTATAGAAGTCATCATCCGGAGTGCCTGATTTCATCATCATTTGTTTCAACTTGCTTATCGTGAGAAGGTGGTCTGCATCTTCATACCTCTTCATCAATTCAATGTCCACTTTTTTGTCTTCATCTTTGACCTCCTCTTGGTTTACATGTTTAAAAACATCTATGCCTTCAATCCGGAGTCCCATTATGTCCCTGACATCCTCTAGATAAATAGGAACATTCTTACCACATATAAAAAAGCATTGGTTGCTGATTTCGTATCTGTTTGCAATTTTGTCAATCATTTGTCTTCTGAGACACGTCCCTGGCATACGAAGCAGCCCCCCAAATCCCATAGACTTAATAGCATCCTTGTGGTCGCTCGATAATGCTTTTACAGCGTTTACAAAACTCACAGATGAGTTTATTAAATGCATATATTTCTGCAATAACCAGTTGGTCGATGATAAGTTGCTAACAATGCAAAGGCAACTTGCACAAAAATAGGAACTGGATATTGGATATGGAAATTACCTGCTTCTTGGTCCCTCCCTGCACTTTTTGAGTATGAACCATGCTACCACTGTCAACTGCATCAAATGATGTGAATAAGAAATGTTGATAATGAATGCTGCAGTTGTAATCTGGTTATGTGCAAAAATAGTTTTTCACTAATTATAGAGTTTCACTGAGTCTGTTTTTATTTTGAAGGATAGTAGCAATGCAACAGCAGGCGAGGAATACCAGTTCTACCACAGTGATAGCAGCAGGGCATTGGTAAATTTTCAGACTTATTTAGCAACAACTAATAGTGATTAGTTGGAAAATAGCAGGGCAAACTTGGAAGTGGGCGCCAATTGAGGTCAGTGCCCGAACAAACACAAATTCATACATCTAATCACTGGAATAGGGATGCATCACTTACCAGTAACCTTTGACTCATTTTGAACCCGGATGCCGATTGGAGTACGGAGCTGGCCTCCATCTGCCGCGGTATCCATGGTGCCGATTCCAGTCGATGGACTCGGCTGGCCTCTGTATTCTGCCGTAGGCATTGCTGTTTCAAATCAGGAAAATTACTCTTTACTGTTCGTCTCTATATGTTGACACTAATGCTCAATCGTAATCTCACAAATCAGAAGCCATGTGTAATAATCCTGAGTTGCAGTTAACAACAGCATATACGGTGTGGTTAATAACCTTACTTTTGTTAGTTTTGGTAACTGAATTCTTTTGTTTACCACTGCAGTTACCATCTGTATCAAATGTGCAATTAGAGCCATTTGAGGTCAACATTGACAAGCTTGATCTCGTGCTTGTAGAGAAGGACGATTCTGAAAATCTTTCCAGCCCTACCAGGTGAATTTCATTTAGTTATGTCGTGATTTACAGCTATCGTGTGAGCAGTTTGTAATTGTACTTCTTTCTGTTGTCTTTTTTAGCACTGCGTCATCTCCATCATCAGCAACTAATAGTGATTAGTTGGAAAATAACAGGGCAAACTTGGAAGTGGGCGCCGATCTATCCTAGTGCCCGAACAAACACAAATTCATACATCTAATCACTGGAATAGGGATGCATCACTTACCAGTAATCTTTGACTCATTTTGAACCCGGTTGCCGATTGGAGTACGGAGCTGGCCTCCATCTGCCGCCGTATCCATGGTGCCGATTCCAGACGATGGACTCGGCTGGCCTCTGTATTCTGTCGTAGCCATTGCTGTTTCAAATCAGGAAAATTACTCTTTACTGTTCGTCTCTATATGTTGACACTAATGCTCTTTCGTAGTCTCACAAATCAGAAGCCATGTGTAATAGCAGTACATCTTAGTACTAATTGCAATGATGTTTATGTGGCACAATAGCAGTACATGGTTTTCGTCCTTGAATCGTGGAGATCGTCGTAGTAGCACAAATGCATACATCAAATTAATGTGAAGGAGAGATGTATATCATTTACCTTCGATCCTGGTGCCGTTGCCAGGAGATGAATTACTGTGCCGTCTTCTTTCTCCTGTGCTGCCGAGGGAAACTGCCGAAACAAACTGAGAACTGAGAGAAGTACGCTGGTTGTTGAGATCCTATAAATTACGAAAGTGGAACTGAAATGGCCACGGTGGGAAGAGAGGGTAAGCCGCTATTGGGCCATATTGGGCCGACGTGGCTCGCATGACCAGCGTGCTGCCTTTGCCGATGATACATGCTCCCGTTCGTCAAAACCTGCACGCACGCACGAACAGCATCATCAGTCGTCGTACATCGCAGGAACGAACAAAGAAGGTAGCATGTATCATGCAGTCACGTGTACGTCGCAGGAACGAACAAAGAAGGTAGCATGCATCATGCAGTCACGTGTACGTGCACGAAAGGCTACTATGTATCTACCGCTGTACGTCTACGTGTACGTGTACGTGCCAGTGTTTCACGGGCACGGCTTGGGGCTAGCTACTACGTACCTAGGTAGTTGATCGTACGCAGTGGCGGATGCACGATGCGGGATAAGGGGGGGCTAAAACAATGGAGATGTTGATTTGCATGAAGATTTAATGGTGAAATCAAGCTTTTGCTATAGTGATTAGTCTTGAAATCAAGCCATTAGGGGGGCTGCAGGCGAAGTTGTTGGTCACGACGTGGCACTATCAGTACGCCACCACGACATGTACCTACGTGTGAGACTACTAAGTTGTTGGTTATGACGTGGCACTATCAGTACGTCACCACGACATGTACCTACGTGTGAGACTACCAAGTTGTTGGTTATGACGTGGCACTATCAGTACGCCACCACGACATGTACCTACGTGTGAGACTACCAAGTTGTTGGTTATGACGTGGCACTATCAGTACGCCACCACGACATGTACCTACGTGTGAGACTACCAAGTTGTTGGTTATGACGTGGCACTATCAGTACGCCACCACGACATGTACCTACGTGTGAGACTACCAAGTTGTTGGTTATGACGTGGCACTATCAGTACGCCACCACGACATGTACCTACGAGTGACACTACCAAGTTGTTGGTTATGACTGATAGGCCTAACATGAACCAAAGTGAACCGATCACTCTTACATGTACTCCGAGTGTACTAATATGCTGAACATGATAGGAAAGTGATTCGATCGGTCTCATGTCTTTCTAGAGTGATGAACCACTAGGCATAACATGATAGGAACTAAGTCGCCACTTGCACGTGTCGTCCAAGTGCACTAATAGACCAACATGATAGTAATTTGAACCGAACACTCTAACCATGTGTTTTTTAAAGTGTGAACGCGAGTTTTTCTTATTTTTAAGTTCTGGCTTTTTATTAGAAATTAGTAGCGCAACTCAAAACAATTAGCATGGATTATGGATGAGGAAAAGATTGTGGAGGGTGAAAAATAAATAAAATACATAGAATGTGGATATGAATGGTGATAGCCTCCGTAGCGGCAGATATATAAAAGAATTAAATTTTAAAATAAATGGTGGCAAAAAAAATTGTTGCCACGGGCCAGCATCAGCTAGGTTGGGTTCGACCACGAAGGGAGCCCATCCAGGCCGCGCCAACCCAATTGGCCCAGATAACGAGTGAGAGTAGGTATTGTGTAGTTCGATCGCTACTACTTGTACAGTTCTTTTATGCTGCGTTTTTGCGTGGTCAGCGAGCGAGGTGGGACTAAACTAGTGCAGATGGCTGACTGCCTTATTCAATTGGATTTGTTGGGCCATGACACGATGGGCGAGGCCCGATTCAGAATCCTTCTTCCCGCCCGAGCCGCATCAACGGTTGAATCCACCGCCGCCGATCCGTCGAACGCACCCGCACCCCCGAGGTTCCCAGCGCCGTGCCAATAATAAACAGTGAGGCCCGAGCACCGCCGCCGCCCCTTTTTAACCCTAAAGGAGCCGCCCGAGCACTAGCCCTAGGCAGCAAGAACGCCATAGCCGCCGCCGGAGCTCTACCGCCGCCGCCGCCACGATCTCCGCCTTCACCAAGTCACCGGCGTCTAGAACCCTCCACGACCTTCGCAACGAGGTCAAGAATCCGTTGGTGCCCGCCCCTCCCTCTCTCGCTCTCTCCCGTGCTGTTTTTGAACTCCAAAGACGTGATGATGTGCTTTTCCTTTCTCCCGTGGTACTTGTTTGAGATCAGTATAGGCATGTTTCATGAATATATTGTTGCTATAGTATTCTTGATCCGTTATATTTGTAATCTTTGGATTAGATGGATCTTGACCACTACCTGGATTTAGGCATCTAGTTACCCGCATAGGCTACAATGGTGGAATCACACTAAGCAACATGCTCTGAAACTTAGACTGATGGAATCACACTAACCAAAATGGAAATCTTCCCACTGAGTTCTTCCCCACAATCCATGGTAGGTTGATGGCATCATGGGATGCGACCGTGATAACAAAAGCAACAATACCGAGTGCTTTATTTTCCTGTTTACACGCTTTCTTTGTCAATATATCATGCAAGTTCAGTTCTTCCCTCATGCATTTATCACTGGTTGGTCAAGTACATGTATGCTGTTTTGATGGATTTACGAAACTGCTACGTCAAACTTCAAAACCATGGATCTTGCAAACCACCTCAAGGAGTGGGGCGAGATGGGTACCAAACTAAAGGCGGACTTCGAGGATATGAAATTGAAGTTACAAGCTTGACCGCTTCGACGCCGACATCGAGAACAAAACAAGTGCGACAACAAAATGAGCGGTACATAATTTCTCGGTAGCTAACTGCCGGACGAAGGGTCAACCATTGAGCGCGAATGACGTTCTTTGTGAGAATGGAGGTCGCCTGGGTCGCTTGTTGAAGCAAGCGTTACATGATCGACATCTTGCGCTTTGCCGAGAAGATGAAGCGAACGCGCGCGTCTTAAATCAATCCTTATCAAAGGTCCTTGAAGAAGTTGATGCCAACATAAAGAAAGAAGCGAGCCAACGTTGACTCCATGATTAAGCGGCGGGGAACAAATGGATAAGGAGTTGGAAAATGAGCGCTCAAAATTGAAGTCAATGATTCATCCTTGATCGAACAAGAGGAGGGCCGGTCCTTGATCCAAGAAGAGGAGGTCCGTGCCAACATGAATGTAGAGGTAACTACGGTATGCTAGTATTTCATATTTTGCATTACATAGATAGCCATTTGAACACCTCGAATCTTTACACTTTCAGTACAAGATGGGATCTACATACCACGGAAATACATGCATATATTATTGGAAAACGAGTGTGGACGGTATATGAAATTTTTGTACAAGATCCGTGTAAGAACTCCGTGTGGCCAAATTGTCCTTATTCGCCTAATCTATACGCAGCAGGATGTTGTAATGCAATTTATCCTTCACTCGCTTAAGGAACTTTATTCGGATATGAAGAAGTACTACGATAGTCGAGAAGAATTAGGCCAGTTTACAATTGTAAAACCAGCCACTTCTGCTGAGTTTGTCACGATGTTGGGGCTTTTGAAACCTTTTGGATACAGAGGAGACGGACAGTTGTATTACCTCAATCCTGCTCCTGGGAGTCAGCCATCAACTGGGTTAGTACACATTGACGGACAAGAAGAGGTAAATGAATTGGTGCTTGCTCATGAAAAAGAGGAGACTAAAATTTGTCATATGTACCTAGTGAAAGGATGTAACGACGATTTGTACGGCGTGAGTATTGGTTCCTCTCCACAAAAAAAACTACTTCATACAATCATATATGTATAACATGACAGCAACTTAATGCAGGACATGTCGGACATGGAAACAGACTACAATGAGGAAGAAGAACAAGGCTACTTTGATGAAGAAGAACAACGTTGACTCCATGATTAAGCAAACAATAATGATTGGTATCTGGAAAAGAAGAAGAAGAAGATGGGCTTTCACTGAGTGCAGACTTGTTTTCATTTTTTTTTGAAGACTTTGCAGACTTGTTTTCATGAACCTGCCTGCCTGTGTTAGTTGCGTTGTTGGAAATTAATCGACTTATGGCGTCATCTTTTGTGGCTGTATCATTTTTCTTGCACAGTTTTGTTGCTTGTAAAGAGTGAATCACATGTCACTGACTGTTTTGTATGAGCAGTGCCAGAGAGACTTGAAAGAACTGCACTGGCACCCACAGATACCGTCATTGATCATATCAACGGCAATTGACGGCTTCAACGTGTTGATGCCTACCAACATTGATACAACCATTCCTGGCAACACTGATACAGCAATGGCATCTGCTGAGCCATAGGTGTTTCTGTTAGCAGGGCTCCCAGCTTATAATTCCAGGTTTATGCAGTGGTGTATCCTGAGTGTTAGTTCGCATTTGTGTTGAGTGTGTTATGTTCGAGCATGATGGGAAAATTATGGTTGGCTAACATTCTATGATATATGATAAGATTTAATATGTGCATGCTTTTGCCAGCATCTAGGATGGTAGTTGACCCAGCATATATCAAGTTATCAACCGATGGTTGCTGCATGATAGCGTAGACAAGAAGGACGACAGCCTTCGTAGAGCGTGGTTGGCAGTCTGTTGCCGGCTTTGTTCGTTTTGGAAAATTCGGCAGCCGCTCATTTGTATATGCTGTTTTTTATAACAAACTTCATCGCATTTAAGAATAGTGTACAGAGAGGAGCCTAAAAGAAAAGGCTCCCAATTTACAGAGACAAGCCTAAAAAATGAAATGATGGCCAAATACAAATATCAATGAGTTTGCCCCTTTTTTCCCTTCATTCA